CTCCGATAGTCTGACTTTCGTAGGTTTTTTTTTTAATTCTTATATCTCATTTACTCCTTTTTGTTTCCTCTCTTTTATTTCACACAAATGTTTTGTAAATCTTTGGCTTTCTTCACACTTCACAGTGACTCTTTCCTTTACATTTTTTTTTCCTTCCAAATTTGAACTATATTAGGATGGAAGAAGGTGGAAACAAACGCAAGCATCCCGATTGGCAATACATCATATTGGATGATCCGAAAGATACAAACACATGCAAATGCAAGTTTTGTGGAAAAATTACCAAAGGTGGAGTTTGCCGAGCAACAAACCATTTGGTTGGGGGAAATCAAAATGTAAAGGCACGTTTGAAATGCCCAACTAATGTGAGAGAAGAATTGAAGGAGTATCAAACAAGAACAAAACTAAGAAGGGAAGAGAGTAATATCCTCCCAACGTATGAAGATTTAACTTTGATTGAAGAAGATGATGAAGATGAGATGGGAGTAGTTGGTGGTAGTGGTAGTGGATCAACATCAACCCCAATGAACAAGCGAACAAGAATAAACACAGTTGATAATGTGAGTAGTATGGGTGGGAGAGGGAGAGGAAGTGGAAGTGGAGGAGGAAGTAGTAACTCTTGTAGTCCATCAGTGTTAAAACCACCGCGACCAAAGGGGCCAATAGATAAATTTGTTTATCAACATCCTGGAAGAGTTGTTGATGATAGAAATCGATTGAAGAGGTTGAAGCAATCAACTATTACTGAAAAATATGATAAAGAGGAGAGAGATGCTACAGTGCAATTCATCATGCGTTGGATATATCAAGCAGGTATTCCTCTAAATATTATTCGCTTGAGAAGTTTTGAAGTGATGCTAGAAGCTGTGGGGCAATTTGGCCCTGGTTTGATACCTCCTTCTTATGAAGCTCGAGTAACGTATTTGAAAAAAGAAGTACAGTACACAAAAATCTGATGGGCGATCATGATGTAGAATGGAAGAGAAATGGTTGTTCGCTGATGTCAGATGGGTGGACTGATAGGAGAGATAGGACACTAATCAACTTTTTAGTTCATTCATCTATTGGAACGTTGTTTATGGAATCCATCGATGCATCTTCATGCATCAAAACTGGAGAAAATATTTTTCAACTCTTAAGATGGCATGGTGGACAAGATTGGAGAAGAAAATGTTGTCCAAGTTGTGACGGATAATGCCTCAAACTATGTCCTAGCTGGAAAACTTTTAGAAGCCAAGCAACCTCATCTATATTGGACACCATGCGCTGCTCATTGTCTAGATTTAATTTGGGAGGATATTGGAAAGATTGAGCAGGCCAAAAGGTGTCTTAGGAAGGTTGTGGCACTCAGTGGTTTTATTTACAACCACTTGTACGTGCTAAACATGATGAGAGAATTTACTAACCAACATGAATTGGTAAGACCAGCAGTGACTCGCTTCGCAACTTCATTTTTAACCCTAGCCAGTATTCACAGAAATAAAGCCAATTTGAGGAAGACGTTTATTTCTGAGAAATGGACCACCTCTAAATGGGCGAAGGACCCGAAGGGGAAGAGAGCATCTGAAACCGTTATGATGCCATCTTTTTGGAATTCAGTTGTGTATACTTTGAAAGCATCGGGCCCTTTAGTTCGTGTGTTGAGGCTAGTAGATGGTGATAAATCGGCTATGGGTTATATTTACGAAGCTATGGATAGGGCAAAGGAGGCTATTAAGAGTGGTTTTAATGGAAATGAGGCGAAGTATAGACCCATTTGGGAGATTGTTGATAAAAGGTGGGATTGTCAACTTCATCGGCCTTTACATGCAGCCGAATATTATTTGAATCCATCTCTTTTCTATGACAACAAAGAGAGAATTATGCAAGATCCTGAGGTCATGGATGGTCTGATCAAAGTTATAGAACGATTAATACAATCTATCGATGATCAAGTTCAATGTTCAATCGAATTAGAATTGTACAATGAAGCAAAAGGCATGTTTTCGAGTAATGTAGCAATAAGGACGAGGGGTGTTAAAACACCAGGTAATGACATTATTTATTACTTTTAGTTTTAAATTTTTAACAGACATATTTAAGTGGGCTGTCCTTTGTCTCCTTTCCTCTTCACCTTGATTGGAGATGCTTTTAGTCGTCTTGTGCACTTTTGCCATGAGAGAAGAATACTGAAGGGTTTTCTGGTCGGGTCTAAACAAGTCCCCCTCACACACCTCCAATACGCGGATGACACCATTATTTTCAGCAAGGGGAGGGTTGAAGATCTTCTGGATTGGTGGGGGATAATATCCCTTTTTGTCTATGCTGCAGGTATGTCTATGAATGTGGATAAAACTTCTCTGATAGGGATAAACATTCAGGAGGGTGATCTCCTCTTAGCTGCAAACATCATTGGGTGTAAAATTGAAAGCCTTCCGTTCAACTATCTGGGCTTCCCTCTAGGAGGTAACGCAAACTCCATCGGCTTTTGGGAACCAATGTTGGAAAAGTTTAGATGCAAGATATCTAAATGGAAAAACCTCTCCCTTTCTAAA